AAATTATTGATAAAGTAGGAATTCACTTAAAAATACCGAAAAGCCACCATGTTGGTGCGACAATCAGCACTAATCCACAGGAAATTTGGGTGGTGATTGCGATACAATACGCTTTTTTTCTCCCGAACCTGGTCACGCAAGATTAGCAGACTTGACAAAACAGCACGAAAAGCTCTTACTTGTCACTGACGATTCCCCAAAGCGTAGCCCCGACCATGTGGCCAATGTAGTAGAGTGACTGGACCGTAGCTTTGATCCAAGCCCTATCTCCTTGCAAATTCCACTGAACGATACTACGTAATACATGTAATATACTACGTAACCACTATAATGCAACAATAGTATGTATTAAACGTTTTGATAATCAAAACGGACTCAAAAGCTCGCTTACCCTATCTGCGGCGGAGTATCCGTTGATTGTGCAGTTTTCACCATCAGAACATCTGAATCGTGCAAAGTTTCTTCATATCCCAATTCATCTTCATAATTTTTCCCATTTATGCATGTGTTCGTATTAGCTCTCACACGGAACCTAACATGTGGTGGTAATCATGTAAGCTGACCTATATTCAGACTCTCGAAATTTCACCCAGAGGGCATTTGTCACACGCAAACTACCTCTGAGCATGCCAACTTTAAGAATGCAGTCTTATTTCATGAGTGGGCAGCATCCATGACATGCACAGTATAATAACTTGAGAACTAAAAATAAGTTTGCAAATCATGGCAGTTGCGCTTTTCTCACAGCAAATGAGGGTCTCCTGTGTCAATCACGCAACTGTCATCCTAGCACATAAAGATAGCGTTATTATCTACCAAAAGCAAGAGTTTTAAGAGAACTCACTTGACTTCAGAAGGGATTGACACAAATGTCCAGCTCATTACGTGCAGGGATACAAACGCGCTAGGAATGCACACCAAAATAAACTGTAATAACTGGTACCTGAAAAAATAGAAACAGCATTTAATTCAGAATTCCGGACTGCCCATTACCTTCCAACGCTGCCTAGATGTTCCACCATAAATTGCTCAAATGAAACCTTTTTTGGCTGTTCTGCGAAACGTATTGAGTCAAGACTAGACTGCTCGGGAGCGATTTTGTTCTGGCTTGCCATTCTTGCTTACCCTGCCCGAATGAAATCTGT